TTGATTACAATCATGCAACTTCAAGAGATTGTCCTTCATGGCAACTAAAACTCCTTATTTAATCAACTGGCTTACACTCATCAGATTGTTATTCATGCCAGAAGCATAACATACATCCTTGATCAGTACAGTTTTGTCATTGTTCAACTTAACTATGATGTTTCCCATTCCTTTAGCATTCAGATACTCATCATCAGTACATCTGATCTTGGTCCTCTTACCAGAGTCAAAATCAGCAAGTCATTGTTTGTTTCTAGTTAGGTTATTTGAGCAGTTATTGTCCATATACCATTAGTCTACCATTGATCCATCTATATTTTCAAATGCCAACAATAGCACAGATTCATCGTCAGAATCTGCTCTTGCTATGTTGGCTTCTTCACCCTTGTTAACCTTGTTTGAGCAGTAATCAACAGCAAAATGGCCAAACATTTTAGAACAGTAGCACTTAACCTTTCTTTTGTCAAACTTCTTATTTCCCTTGTGAACATTCTGATGTTTCTTATCGGAATTGGAGAGCTCTGACTTCTAAAAACCACCATCATACTTCTTCATGTTCTTTAGTCATGCTTGCTTCTGGTTAGGCATGGCAACGGGGCGGGTCGGGGCGGGTTTAAGCAGCCCCGCACCCGCACCCAGTCGGAGGTAAAAAAACTACCACCCAGACCCGTCTCCGCCCGCAAAACTATTTTATTTTAAATAAATATTTTTTCATAACAATAAAAATTAATAATTTAATTAAATAATTAATCATTTTAATAATAAACATGTTTCTAAATAGTAAAATAACTAATAAACATGTTTTTCTAGTAAAACTATTTCTAAAAATTAAAATAACTCTAATAAATGTATAACAAAATAATTAAAATGAGGAATAAAAGTAAATTAAAGTAGACGAGGGCGGGGGCGAGGCCGGGTGCGGGGCGGGTAGTAGCATCCCCCTCCCCCGTCCCCGCACTTGTAATAGAAAATCGGATTTTTAACTGCACCCGCATCCAGTTAAACCGGATTTCTCCCGTTAATTCCAGGGCGGGTCCGGACGGGTCTGGGTTTTCTTGCGATGCCTACTTCTGGTTATTTTTTCCAGAAGAAGCTTTCAGAGTCTGGTCTTTCATAGCTTGTTCTAACTCTTGTTCAAAGTTTCTTTCAGTTAGAAACAACTTTTGTGTCTTTATACTACTTTAAAGCTTTTTAATTCTCATGGTGTTGGTATCTTTATAGTGTTATATGACTACAACTATGTAATCAAACTGAGAAGTAAGTGATCTCAGTATCTTTCAATGATTATTTGTTCAAAGAGCGTTTCTCCACAATACTTCATCTCATTAGTGACCACAATCACTCTGAAGATGTAATCAGGTACCTTGTCATTGTTCTTCATGTTGAGATTCTCATATTGCTTACGTAGGGACTGAAGCTTGAGCTTTTTCACTAATGTATCACCACCATAACATCGTACTAGTGTAGCCAATGCTGCTTTCGCCGTAATCGAATTAACAATTGTATCAAACATATTTGTATTCACACACTGATGGATATAGAATAATGCCTTTTGATCTTTTATCCTTGTTTCACGTTGCGCAATTCTTTGCATTTCTGTTGCATTTCTGCAACCGGTGTGCAACCGTCATTGACGAGATCAAGAACATCATGAGCTCCAAATAACACGTGCATCTGAATCGACCACCAATTATAGTTCTTTCCGTCGAATACTGGAATTTTTGTGTTCAAACTATTGTTTTCGGCGCTCATCTTTATTCTTTTGCAAATCACTCAGTTCTCACCAACACTCGTGTTTCCCAAACCATGAGAATTAAGATCTCTGATTCTCCTCGATTTCGAACTTCAATTCAACGCGAATTTCAAGAACGAAATCAATCAACACCTCATTACACTCGTGTTTCCTTGTGAATCGAACCGGAGTTCTGGATACCAAGTGTTGGAGTTCAACAATGAACATCTATTAACAACGCACAAGAATGAAGAAGAAGAATGAACATTGTTGAAAGAGAGTTGTAACTAACTTTTAATCTCAAAATGCAAAAATTCAAATGATACAAACTCCAACTAACTTTGGATTTTATGAAAATCCAAACTCAAATGCATATTAAATTAAATAGAAATTCAAATTCAAATGCAAATTTAAATTTAAATGCAAATGAAACTCAAAGGTAAATTAATTTTAATGTTAAATTACATTCAATATATTCACCATAAATTATTATTTTTTACTCAATTTAATTAATTAATTAATTTATAAAAAATTTCACTTATATTTTTTTAAATAATTATCTCTTTACAACATCAATATAATATTTATTATTATACTTTTACTAATATACATTCTTTATTAACTTTTAATTGTATTAATCTTTTCCATTGACTATAATTACATTTAACCTATTTTATTATTTTATTAAAAACTCTTATGACATGTTTTATGAGAGGGATACTTTATAAAATTGTTTTTTTATATATATTATAAATACAATTTTAAGTTTAATATCATTTCATTTTTAAAAAATTAATAGTTATATAATCATAGATGAGTGTCTCAAATATACCACTGATGCACAATGTTGATCCGTATGTGTGAGTGTTGTAGAAACTTGGTACCAATTTGATTCCAACTCATAAAATAAAAAATAGAAACCAACAAGTCATTATAATGTGTACTATAATTGTAAATGTATAGTACAAAAAGTAAAAAAAAAAATTAAAAAATAAAAAATAAAAAATAAAAAAATAAGAAGATATTTTTTACCCTAGAGAAAGAAAAAAAAAGAATCAAAAGATTAGGAGTGTGGACAGAAGCAGGTGGTGGTCTGAAGTGTTGGTACATGAGGCCTTAAATGTCAAAATAGAAGTTAATTTTCACTGTTTGTGCATGAATGCATCATTCCCCATGTTTCAGAAAATCAGGCTTTTAATACATGTATATGTCTTGCTTGCCCAATCTCTTGAAAGTGAAGTGTTTAATTTGCAGATCTACCTGTTCTTGGGGACCATACCAACTCAATCCCAAACTTCAATTATTCAATATTACGTTACCACCTTACCTCACCTAACTAAACGTTAAGCATTTATTCTGCTTTTCTTTTTTCCTTCTTTTTCTAGAGCATTGGTATTGGATCATTTACGTTTATATTCACGTACAAAATTCAATAGTGTTAAATGCGAAGTATATTAGAAAAAACTTAAATTTTAAGTTAGTTAAAGATAAAGTCTATAAAAAATTTATATAAAAACACATCTTATCTTACAAGCGAGTATGAATGAGTTAGACTTAATTGAAGTAGTATCTATTACACTAATGTATTCAAAACCAAGTCAGAATAATAGCGACCGCAAACTGAACTAAAAAAAAATTGAAAATCACAAAAAATCGTATTTGCTTCATATGTGTTACAACCCACATTTCACTTAACTCGCATTCAACTAAAACTTAAATATATTATGTCTTAGCCTTAAGAATACAATGATTTTATCTTCCTCACACTTAGAATTTCAGTCTCAATTTCTCAAATCTCTCATGACATGATCACCACGAAAAACGTCTTTCTTGTCGGACACTTTATATCTTTTCTTCTCTAATCTTTAGTCTCTTATATTATTTCTTTTTTACATTCTTTTTTTTTATGATATCGTCCTCTCTTTCAATTTTGTTTTTTATTGCACATCTTATCTAATCTCTCCTATTTTCTTCATCTTCAATAATCTTATTATATCCTCTCTTTTTTTTATCATTTTAATATTTTTAATATTATTTTATGCTATTATTTTACATTTATTATTCCACTTTTATCTAATATGACTTTTATATATTAATTGAAAAGTTATTGTCTAAATATGAAAAAATTTATTGTTATTTAATAGTATATGAATGATAAAATACAAAGTTATAGTATCATCTATATGTGTTTGTATGACTCAATTTAAAAAAAAAAAAAAAAAACTGAATTGAGTGAACCAACCAAATCGTATGTATTAGTTAGGTGTGACGACCAAATCAAAAACACACATTTTTTTTCTTTTACGATGTAAATGACTTTTAACATTAAAACATTTAAACATCAATGAGAACACCCTTAATTAGTATACTGCTGCTGCTCTTGTTTTTTTTAAATGTTTCGTAAAAAAATTAGAATATTAATTTGCCATAAGTATAATATTAACTAGATAAAATTAAGTATTATCGACAAAATTATTAAATACTCACGATTACATGAAAAGTCGTTAATATAATATAAAAAATGTATTCATCATGTGCAGATAAATTAGAGAGATCACAATTCGTATTAAATATAAGAGACCATTATCCTCTATTTGATCGTTGATGAAAATTCCCGCATTATTCACTGAACTGAGCTCAAAAAATTTTACTTTTAGGGACTGAGGTGTATCTGTCACTAAAATTTCCCATACCTAATGAAATCTAACATGCAGCATTTTTATATTGAAATCTTTCTTTATGAATATATATTATGATAGACATACTACATACTCATTTAAAAAATAATAAATATATGAATTCTCCCCTTTATAATTACTCAAATTTTCAGTTTTCTATTTAAATATCAAAATTGAATATGCACTATTGGAATATGAGTGCACGAAATCATCATCTATAATTATTGGTCAATTAGCAGTCAAGATTCCTACGTTTGAACTCCCAACAAAGTCAGAGTCAGTCATCAGAAGCAAAAAGTTGACAAGTGCCAACAATGAAGACAAATGGAATAACTCTTTACTATAAAAAGTAACAGTAACATTTTCTATTATAAAAAAAAATTGGAACATAAATTAATCCCTCTTCCAAAACAAGAGTTCTCTTCCCTCCCAAACAATTCCTTAACACAAATGGTAGAGATATGTCAAATATGATCTATAAATAATTGGGAATTCCCTCTAGGTATAAAGAAAATGAATCAGGCGCATGATTTTCCTATGCACTTCCCCAAAGGTTTAATCACTTTCTTTCTTGTGAGCCTTACTATTTTCTATACCTTCTCAACTGATTCAGATGACACAGGCAGTGCAGCATAATCTTGTGTTTTGGTGGTAGGAAGGGAAAAGCTACGACGCTCTTTCCCTCCAGGCTTAGAAGAAGCATTTCCATACCAAATCATTCCTGCTATTGCAATTGCCATGCCTAGAACAACATGAAGGTTGAGGCCCTCTTTTCCAAAGAAAATGAATCCCATGAATAGGACCAGAATAGTTTTCATATGACCAAGGACTTGGAATGATACAGCCGTAAACCTACCAATGCAGATGAACTGACTGAGATTTGTCCCTACCGCGATAGTGCAAGACAGAATAATGAACAACTGCAGACACCAGGAGCAGATCAGTTTAATAATAGTTTTCCAGCCGTAGTTACAATAATCATGGTTGTTTTTATGAGTGAAGGTACAATGTACAGTATTTATAAAGTTGACATAAAAGTGTATGCCTATTCAAATCCTACTTTTTTTCCTAAGGTGAATGTCAGGGTCATTTTAAGAGAGAAAAAAACGAGCAAAAAGGTGCAGATTGCAGAGTACAAGTCCGTGCACAGTATACAGTTTATCTCTCCACAGCATAAATTGTGTTTCTAAAAAGTGACAATGTTTGTCCTTTGGCCAAGGGATATAACCCAAGTCCAAAAAGGTAGAGAATTATTGGTAGAACCAGATCTGGTTCTAAGGTATGCCAGGGATGGGCCCATATAAATTTAGTATAAATTGTTAGTAACTAGTTACTCATGAGTCTAAATTGTCAAGTATACAGAGCTGTTGTGAATTAAAGGATGAGTTATGCATGACACAAGTGAAGAGATAAAAGTAAATTTAAACGGATGGTATTGTAAGGATACTTATACTACTAAATACATCTCGCTTTTGACTAGAGCAATATCATAAGCCCAGGAAATCATTGAAAAAAGCATAATTGGCAATTCAGGGGTATAGATAGATAAAACACAAACCTCTCATAAGTCATACATGGGAGCTCAAGATACATAAAATTATGGGAAAATTACACTCATCGCCCATAAGGTCTATTAAAATGACACCGACACCCCCTCTAGTTTTAAAATCTACACTAACTTCCCTAAGTTCATTCTCATTAAATAGATAACCGCCTCCCTTCCCCATTAACATTGTTTATTTTCTGTTAACTTTTAAATTCATCTTTAAATTTTCAGTCCACCAAGGTCAAGGTGAAGTTTTTGCTTCTAATAATGGTGTGAGAAAGGATTTTAGGCTCAGCAAGAATAGCAAATTTTTGTTTCTAAGTGCATGTCTATTTAATGAAAACATATGGAAGGATGGTGTATATTTTAAAACTAATGGAGTGTCGGTTTCATTTTAATAAACCTTAGAGGAGGTAAGTGTGATTTCCCCTAAAATGATACTAGCTATTAAACACAGATTGACACATACACTTGAAATGGCACAATCGACACTGCTATAAAATGTTAACTAGGGTAACTATGAACATTAGAATTTGTTTTTTCGACACTTGTCTGAATTGTCAGACACGAGTCATATGAGTGTCAACACGGACCAATGTGAAAGATCTTTTTCTCCTCTAGATTTGTGCATGATAACCAAACCTCATAGATCTTAACTTAATAGAATGTTGCTCATGAGTCGTAACCCTTTTTGAGGCTAGATAGGTAGGTCATATAAGAATGCAAAGTACTTGACACCGGGTTAATGTTTCGGCAAATGTCCCCATGCAGGACAAGTTTATACAAAATTCAGAAATAATTATATCCACTTTTCATGGTTTCTTTTTTTATTCTAAATATTCTGGAAGAAAATACTTTTTAGCTGTAAAGAATACATTTGTGAAGAATGAATCCCCACCAAAATGAGACTTAAATGGCCTTTTATTAACAAGAAAAAAGGACTTAAAAGGTGTTACAACACTGGATCTGTTACAACACCTTCTACTTCAAATGCTATTTACAGACTCTTTCTCTAGTCAAGCAGGAAATTTGGATTTTTGAATTTGAAACCCTATAAATGGAAGGAACATTATATAATAACTATATGCTGCAAGCTATGCTTACAGACTTCCAAAAAAAATTGTCGGATGAATAGAGAAGAAGCCCTCTAGTTCAAATCTATAAGAAGGATATACAAAATTGTGCAAATTATAGGAGGATTAAACTAATGAGTCATACCATGAAGTTATGGGGAAGAATGATTGAAAGGAGGATAAGAAAAAGACCCAAGTCACTGAGAATCAATTTGGTATTAGGTCCGGAAGGTCGAGCATGGAAACGATCTATCTACTACGACATGTGATGGAGCAGTATCGGATGGACCAATAAGAGTTGCACTTAATTTTTATTGATTTGGACAAGGCGTATGATAGAGTGCCTAGAGAGATTATGTGAAAAGCCTTAGAGAAGAAAGAGGTTAGGAATGCATTTATTCGAGCTATCTAAGATATGTATGAAGGGGTATCGATTAGTGTATGGACACAGGGTGAAGAGACAAACAATTTCCCCATTGCAATAGGTTTGCATCAAGGTTCAACCCTAAGCCTGTACCTTTTTACCTTAATTTTGGATTTACTCACGGAACACATCCAAGAGCTACCACCGAGATGCATACTTTTTGCAGATGATATAGTACTATTTGGAGAGTCAAAGGAGGGTTTAAATGAGAGGTTGAAGACTTGGAGACAAGTTTTAGAAACACATGGTTTTCGCTTAAGCACAAGTAAGACAAATTATATGGAATGTAAGCTCAACAAAAAGATAAATGTTTTTAACCTAGATGTGAAAGTTGGAAACAATATCATCCCCTGAGTCACACGGTTTAAATATGTTGGGTCCATAATACAAATTGATGGAGAAATAGAAAGGTATGTAAATCATCGAATTCAAGTTTGATGGTTGAAATGGAGGAGGACTTCAGGGATTCTATGTGACTCTAAGGTACCGCTCAAGCTGAAGGAAAATTTTTATCAGATTGCAGTAAGACCTGCAGTGATGTACGGGACATAATGTTAGACGATTAAGAATCTAACACGAGAATAAAATAAGTGTGGTAGAGATGAAGATGTTGCGATGGATGTGTGGTAAGACTAGACAAGATAGGATTAGAAATGAAAGTATTAGCGAGAGTGTTGGAGTAGCACCTATAATAAAGAAGATGGTGAATAATAGACTTAGATGGTTTGGGTATGGAAAAAGAAGACTTGTAGATTCGGTGATAAGGAGAGTAGATCAGATTGAGAAAAGTTACACAATTAGAGGGAGAGAAAGACCTCGAAAGACTATAAGAGAAGTTATTAAGAAAGATCTAGAAGTTAATGATTTGGATAGAATCATGGTCCTGGATAAAACATTATCTAGATTGTTGTAGTAGATAGTAAGCTATATGTAAACAGTAAGTGAAATTTTGTATCAAATAGGAAATTTCCATGCAAGTTCACACCCTAATCGTTAACTCTATGCAAGTTAATTAGGAAATTTTGTATCGAATAGTAAGTTATTTTAATATAAGTCAACTCTTCACAGGAAAGAAAGAGCGGTCTAAACTTGATATTGGGCCTGTTTAAAACCGATTTTGATATAAATAATTTATAGACTTCTATTGAAATTTGTATGAATAGAACTACTTTGTGTTTGTTTCAATCAGAATTTGAATTGAACTTAACTCATCTTTACAAAACCGGTTTGCAAAATGAGGATTGTCTTCACTTATACACACACCACAGGCCATATCTCTAAGCAATGTGGAACTAAATCCAACACAATGAAGGTGTTTGAAGTTGCAAAGATGGCAAATCAAATTCCGCAATTAAGACGACTAGGGGCTTTAATTGCGGCATTTGACTTGCTAAAAAAATTTGTAACAAAAAATAATTTGATTTTGTATTTCTCTCTTTTATTAAAATGATTTCCTTCAAACGCTAATTAAAATAACTTCTAATTTTCACCATAAAAATCATTCTTTTTTAACAAAAAAGATTTGACAATTCGGGCCATTCACAGTTATATACATTCAAACACCAAGCCCAATAGTGATAGGATTGCGGGGATGTATTAAGAAAATCCTAAATCTCACATTAGTCATAAATAGAGTTTAGAAACTCTTTATATAGAGTGACAACTCTCACCTTACAAATCGGATTTTGTACGGATGAATTAGGCCAAACTCTAATCCTAAGATGGTATCAAAGTCTCGCTTAAGATCAAGTGGACAGCCATCTATTAGATTTCCGTTTTCAGATCACCCACCTATCCACTCACCAAGCCCAATAGTGTTGAACATGATAGGGGTGTTAAGAGTTCCATATCAGGCAATATAATTCAGCCCGAATTTGTATCGAACAATATATGGCCTGAATATGTATTTATAAATGAAGACAATACAAGTCGGTTTTGTAAGGATGGATTACGTCCAATTCTAATTCTAACACACACGAACATAAAGAAATCAATTATTTTGATAATCATAAACAAACAGGCCCATAAATAAACTTTACAAGTATCCTTATCCCCTCTTCATAACTGAAAATTAAAAGAAATAGAGAAACTTACCGTGGATGTCAAGCCATAATCGTATGCATCAACTCGTTTGTTTGTCAACCAATAGTCCATAAAGGGGCCTACTAGCAATAAACTTGCTGCCTGAGCTGGTGCAGTGTGGCCCAACAAGTTAAATGATCCAATAGAATATTTCCTCTGAAGAAAATGCACATACTGCACAAATGTAAGAAATTATCAGTCCAACAAAAACTAGATCATGAGAAACCTGAACAAAAACGGAAGAGTTAAAAATATAATAATCACTTATCTAAGACTGCTTATGATATAAAAGCAGAAAAACAAGGAAAATTTGTTGCAGGCTTCCCAATTTCTCATTTTGAAATCTATATAACAAGATAATTTATTCTTCATGCATTATTAATTCTTACAAGTATCATGAACCTAGAAATGAATTAGTAATCTTGAACAGACTTGGTGACATGGAAATCAAATTGACCGTTTTCTATCTCCCAATTCAGATTCAAGTTTGAAATAGTGTCGGTGTGTTACTTACATACTGCTGTAGTGCTGTGCTACAAACTGCAATGACGGCAGCTATGAAACCCTTTGTATTGACGCTGACATCGGTGACAGTACAGACCGCAACACCAGCCAAAACCAAGACAATACTAAGCTTTGTGTCCCTTGAATATCGCACATTGTCCAAGACTACTTCCAGGAGACACGATACTGGAATCATAGTCAACTTAGCAATCTGACAATTTCATTTCAACGAGAAGAACTATTATAAACGCTTATCTTTTCACACAAAGTTTAAAATTTGATACTCAACCAAAAGCCCAAATTTTACCTGATAGAAACCGACGGAGTTCCACATTAAACTCACATTCATGCCAACAATGGAGCAATTTGCAAATAAGACAAACTTGATGATATCAGATTTTGGAAGATGAGAGGTCTGGATATATCCCAGCGATTTAAGAATGATCGTCAACAAGGTTGTTGTGGCAAAATGCATGCCAGTTAAAGTTGTGGCTGCATAATAACGTTATATGATTTTGAATGTCAGGAGTCTAGTGCTGTGGTTCAGAAGCAATTCGTAGCATTACAAGTTAACATTAGAAGAAACATAAACTGCATTATTCTTTGGTTGGGCAATTATGGAAGAGATTTTTAACTGATCATCCAATGCTATTCTCAGTACTGGAAAAATGCATTAGCTGTTTGACATGTAAATTAAATGATAATACTTCCGTAATCAATGTCAAAACCAAAAATAGCAACTGCTCAAAAAACTAACCTAGTCAAACCTCTACATGCCTATCTCATATAGCACAACCAATTTTTTGGATTGGTAAAAAGATTTGCACATTTTGCTCAGATTTTTGGATTGAACATCACATATACAAAAAGTGTGTTGTACAACTTTTGAATATGATCAGAAAGCATACACTCAGCTCAGATATTCCTTCTATGAATCTTTTATACTAAATATAGTACTGCTTATGAATTACGAGCATATTCAATGCTAACTTTCCCTAGTGACCTACTCAACAACTACAAAGAATAATAGATGCATTTTTCAAATCTTTAGTTTATATCGGGCACCATCAATAACAGCCTGATAAAGTACAATCAACAACATATTAGAATGAAATTAAATTGAGGAGTATACTATTGAAAGCCTATATAATAGTTTTCCAACAACCATAGTATCAAATACCACCCTTTACGATATTTTCGATGCCATAATGCATATCAAACTTTTAGCCCATCGGGCCATTATAGAGTAAGTACAGCAGAAACAATATCTCAAGGGTAATCCAAGTCAAGTTAAGAAACTTGTACAATCTGACTATTTGCAGAGTGAAATATATACATAAAAATCGAGTATACTATACTAAAAAACTTTCTCCTTTTTTCTCCACAGACAAAACATGTAGGTGCATGTATCATACAAAAAACGGAAAGCACACAATAAGTAGTTAATATTCAAACAATACATGGATAAAAAAACACAACATTTTTAAATTATACAAATGACCAACCAAAGATTCAAAAGAGGGTAAGAAAATGGGAAAAGTTATGAAAGGGCCATACCAAAACTAAAACCATAAGTGGCCATTAGGGCTTTATTCACAAGGATTATTGCCACAGATGTGACCACGTTAAACAACCATGATGCTGCATCAAGGGAAGCCTTCCTGTCACCCTTGCTTGCAGATGACATATTGAACTAGATTTTCCAATATAGAAACTGGATTTTTCACTGGCCTGCACCACAAGTTCAAAACCGCACGGCTTTATCTGTATGGAAAATAAATCATCAAAAGAAGCACATATTTCTATAGAAGTAAAATTCCCATTTTCACTCAATAGGTAGTTTTTAATTTTATTTCGAAATTTAAAAAAATAATAATAAAAAAAAAGGGTTCTAAAATTACTTAGCTTTTTTATTTTGTAAAAGGAGGGGGCAATAAGCTACCATAACCAATTAGACCACATCAATTTATATCCATATACAAGAAAATCATGAACAAAGGAACACAACAACAAATATGGCATCTTTTTTACTCCTACTGATATCTCCACTCAGAGGGATTACAATTGCATTAGAGCAGAATCATCATGATATTATCTGTACATAAAAAAGGTTGAAACAGTTGAATAAATATTTCTTATCAGACTCCACTTTTTTCAGTCAGAAATCCTAAAATAGGCAACTTTAGAAGAATGGATAAATAAACATTGAAGTTAACAATGCAGTGTATATTTGATTTCACTTTTGGAAGAGCCAAAATTGATTCTATGTTTCAATGTCCTCCTCAAGTAGAATTTTTTGCTTCAAGAATTGATCCTAACTTGAACCTAGAATATGTAGCTTTTGGGTTCTACAATTGATTTTAGCCTTTGAATTTAGTATCCAACTATCACTTTTCTTCCACTCATTTTTAGTAAGAATCAACTTTATAGAATCAGTCCATTCATAGTCAATCTTTGTCACAACACAACCAAACAATCCCTTAGAAATTGAATTGAAACGCAAATCTCTTTTAACTAGACTCAAAATCCAATCAAAATTCAATATAAACCTATAACCAACTAAATGAACTCAGAATAGCAAAATCCTCATCAGATCCATAACTCCTTCCGATCATACAAAACAAATTACAGCAGATTCAAACTTCAAATCAACCAAAATCACCAAGTTACAACAATTCCAAAAGCTTAAAAAATAACTTGCCAAAAAAGTTACACAATCCAAAACACAGATCCACGATCCTTACTCAAGCACCACGCCACTAGAATTACAAAACCACTACAAATCCCTAATCCAAACAAATCTAGCTCATCAATTATCATACATAAAACCATAACCAAATTCACGGAAAAACCTTCATGAATCGGAAAAACAAACCTGTGATGAGCGCGTTGATGTGGTGGAGAGCGGGTTGACGAGAATTTGAAAAGCGACGCCGTTTTCGGTTTCGGTTTGAGAGAGAACTCGATTCAGAGGAATTTCGTTCTCTCTGTTTAGTTTGAGATTCAGTTGCGGGTGAATTTAAGGGGTTTTTAAAGGTGGTTCTGTAACGTCCAGATTCGGAGATCGAAGAAATGTGAGTTGCGGGGAAAGTAGAAGAGAGTAAACGGTATCTCATTAAAGAATATTATTAGTCAACTTCATCATGCTTTAGCCTGCATCTTAATCTTAATTAGATATAATTAATATTTCTTCCACTCTCTATTATAGAAAGAAAATTTATTTTATTGATTCAGTGAACAAATTATATATATACTAGTATAATTAAACCTCACACATATTGGAGTGAAATTTTAAAAAATCAAATCAAATATAGAGAAATTTAAATGTGTTTGTTTTTTTAGTTTTCAATTTCTTATTAATTAACTATTTTAGTAAATTTCTTAAATAAATATAAATAATAGAAGACAAACAAACAAAAGCTATTCATTTTTAGAATATAAAAGATTTGCTTTTTTTAATTTTAAAAAAATAATTTGTTTTTGTATTTTTCAAAATAATTTTTTCAAATGATTTTTATAAAAATATTTTTTTAAATAAATTTCATAAAAAGTTTTAATTTATTTTTTATAAATTGACGAATTAATTTTGATATTCTATAAGATAAACATATAGTATTAAAGATTAAAACATAATCAAAATCACAATTTAAAAAAAAAAATATATATATATATATATATATATATATATATATATATATATATATATATATATATATATATATATATATATATATATATATATATATATATATATATATATATATATATATATATATATATATATAACAAATTGATTTTTATAAAAAGTTATTTGAAATAACTTCAAATTTAAATATTTTTTTACAATTTTAATATATAAAAAAGATGAAATTTTTAAAATAATTATTTAAACAAATTTTTTTTGAAAAACTCTTTGTAATTTTTTTCAACAATAATATGTAATACTAAAGGTTATTTAAAAAAAAAGAAATAAATGAATTCAAAATCAATATTTTTAAAAATTATACTTGTTGTTGACATAATACAAAATTGTTATGCATAAATTTTTTTACTCTTTATAAAAGATCAACTATCTCTTTTGTATTAAAAAAACAAAAATATCAAGAAAAACAATAAAATATTTTTGAGATTTGCTTGTCTCTATTTTTTAAAGCACAAATTGTCATTTACTAGTATTGATTAGTTGTTATACATTAGTACGTTTAGTAATGGGGAAAAATGATAGTCTACTAGAAGATAAATGTATGTTAAATCAATAGGCTATAATGGGATTTTTAATCAGTGTTGTTTTCATTTTGATGTGTGGTGTGAAATTTTAGCCTTTTGAATTTCATGCTTTTTCTATGATGTGCTAGTTTTGCGTGAGCATGTATTATTCAGGTCATTGTTAGGTCATTCTGTCTTGCCTTTCCTTGTCCCTCTCATTGCGGTTTTTATCACCATTTATTTAGTCACTCACCTATGAGAAATAGGTCTCTTATTTTCTTTTTTAGAGGAATCAAAGTAGTTTGTGATAATTTGTCTGATTTCTCTTTTGGTTATTAGTGAATTTTTGAGAAAAATCAAGGAATTTGGTTTTAGCAAAATTATTAAGCTTTCAGCACAGGGGCTTCAGCCCCCTCAAAGGGCAATAATTTACTAAATTATATATAATACTAAGTACTACATTATTTGAATGAATGATTATATCTAATACTATGTTTTATTTTGCCCTATTTTCTTAAAATAATAATTGATATTTGTGAGACGTTGGATTGAACTCTAGTGTTGTCGAAGTTTGTTCGCAAGTAATGCATGTTGTAGTCGAAGTTTGTTCTAACATGCATTAGTCAATATTGTTAGCGTTGTTAGCATGTTGAATTGGATCTTGCTTGTAAGCCCAATTGTTTAAGTTGGCTTGTACCCTAAGTTGCCTTGTAATGGGTAATTGTTAAAAAGCTCATTAGGTTAGTGTGCTTTTTTTCTTATAAATAGGATGCTAGTTTCTCAATCTTGGCATAAGAAAAAATAGGAAGATAAAATCCTAATTTCAAGGGAGAGAGGTTATTTTGTTATTCTTGTATACTTGTAATCTTGTTCTAAGAGAAATGAAAGAATAGCAGTTTAATAACCAATCCTTGTTGTTTTACCTTGTTTTCTTTGTTAACCTTAACCCTTATGAGTTTCTTGATCATTAAGAAACCGTTTATACTTTGTTTAAAGGTATCCGATTCACAACAAATTGGTGCGGTGAGCGTGGAGAAGATGCCTTCAACAAAGTATGAGATTGAAAAGTTCACCGGAGTGAACGACTTCGGTCTGTGGCGCTTGAAGATGAAAGCCCTATTGGTTCAGCAGGGTTGTTTGGAAGCGTTGAAGGGTGAGGCAGCCATGGACGTTGCATTAACGGCAAAAGAAAAGACGGGCATGATCGAGAAAGCCCACAGCGCAATATTGTTGAGCCTTGGTGATAAGGTTCTTCGACAAGTATCAAAGGAGACTACAGCATCGGGATTATGGGTGAAACTTGAAAGTTTGTACATGACCAAATCTCTGGTGAATCGACTCTACCTGAAGCAAGCTTTATATTCATTCAAGATGAGTGAAGACAAAGTGTTGGTTGAGCAGTTGGATATGTTCAACAAGCTGATTCTTGATCTTGAAAATATTGATGTGAAGATCGATGATGAAGATCAAGCACTGTTGCTGCTGTGTGCTTTGCCCAAAACACATGCTCACTTCAAAGAAACTCTCTTGTATGGAAGGGAGTCCCTGACCTTTGAAGAAGTTCAATCAGCCTTGTATTCTAAGGACTTGAACGAACGAAAGGAGCATAAACCTTCGACAGTGGGCGAAGGTTTGGGCGTTAAGGGAAAATTCTTGCGAAAGGATGGTAAGTTCGACAAGAAGAAAGGTAAAAGTCAACAGAAGTCTTATAGTGGCGAAACATCTAGTATTCGATGTTATCACTGTAAGAAGGAGGGTCACATAAGAAAGGTGTGCCCTAAACTCCTGAAAGATCATGGAGGTAATGGCAATGCAGGCATTGTTCAAAATGACTTTGACTCATCTGATGTTGTTGTGGTTTCAAGTGGCGACTCGAGGAAAGAATGGATTATGGATTCAGGTTGCACTTGGCACATGACTCCAAACAGAGAATTGTTCGAGGAGCTATATGATCAAGATGGTGGATCTGTGTTGTTGGGAAACAACAAATCTTGCAAAATTGCAGGTATTGGATCTGTGAGATTCAAGCTCCATGATGAGTCAATAAGGTTATTGACTGAAGTCAGGTACGTACCTGACTTGAAGAAAAATTTGATTTCTCTTGGTGAATTCGACAGAAAAGGATACGTTTTTCAAGGAGAGGAAAGTATCCTAAGAGTCATGAAGGGGTCGAAGGAAGTCTTGAGAGGCGTGAAGAAACAAGGGTTGTATACCCTTGAGGCTAAGGTTGTAAGTGGTTCGACAAATGTTGCATCCACGAAACTTATGTCGAAGACATAATTATGGCACATGAGATTGGGCCATGTCAGCGAAAGAGGCCTGGTCGAATTGGGGAAGCAGAACCTGCTAGGAGGTGACAAAGTCGAAAAGTTGGAATTTTGTGAATCTTGTGTATTTGGTAAATCCTGTAGGGCGAAGTTTAACAAAGGCAAGCAAAGAACACATGGATCCCTGGATTACATTCATGCTGATCTTTGGGGGCCTGCAAGGAATCCTTCACACTCAGGTGCAAGGTATTTTCTATCCATCGTTGATGAATATTCTAGAAAGCTATGGGTATTCATTCAGAAGACGAAGGATGAAACTTTTGAGAATTTCAAAAGTTGGAAGATTCTGGTCGAAACTCAAACTGGCAGAAAGGTTAAGAGGTTGAGAACCGACAATGGCCTTGAATTCTGCAACGAAGCGTTCAACAGTTACTGTGTTGAGTCTGGGATTGCAAGGCATAAGACTGTAGCAGATACTCCTCAACAAAATGGCTTAGCTGAGAGATTCAATCGAACAATCCTTGAAAGGGTTAGATGCATGTTGGTTAGTGTTGGATTGAAGAAGGTGTTTTGGGCGGAAGCTGTTTCGACAGCAGCTTACCTGATAAATAGATGTCCCTCGACTGCCTTGGGAATGAAGACACCTGAAGAAGTTTGGTCGGGACATCCACCTAGTCTCGACAGACTGAGAGTATTTGGCTGTGTTGCCTATGCTCATATTAGGCAAGACAAGGTCGAACCTAGAGCTCTGAAATACATGTTCATGGGATACCCTGAAAGAGTCAAAGCTTATAGGCTATGGTGCCTAGAGCCAGGTCACAGGAGGTGTATCACTAGTCGAGATGTAGTTTTCAATGAAGCAGAGATGGCTTTCAAAAAAACTGATGATCCTGACGAAGAGCTGGAACAGGGAGAGATTCCTGTTGAGGTGGAGCATGCTGATGTCGAATTTCTTACCCCAGATGAAGTTGAAAGCGGAGTATATTGCCCTAACTAAAGCTATGAAGGAAGCATTGTAGCTTGAAGATTTTTCAAAGGAGCTAAAACTTCAAGGTCGAGTTATCACTGTTAAATGTGATAATCAAAGTGCAATACACCTGTCGAAGAATTCAGCCTATCATGAGCGAACCAAGCACATTGATGTGAGGCTGCATTTCATCAGAGGGGTAATCGAGCGTGGAGAAGTCCAAGTGCTGAAGGTTTCGACAGATCATAATGTTGCTGATATGATCACCAAGACGTTGCCCAGTTGCAAGTTTTTACACTGTATGCAGTTAATAAAGCTGCATGAAGAAAGCTAGTTTCTTGATGTTATAGAGTTAGATCCAAGGTGGAGATTTGTGAAACGTTGGATTGAACTCTAGTGTTGTCGAAGTCTGTTCGCAAGTAATGCGTGTTGTAGTCGAAGTTTGTTCTAACATGCATTAGTCAATATTGTTAGGGTTGTTAGCATGTTGAATTGGGCTTTGCTTGTAAGCCCAATTGTTTAAGTTAGCTTGTACCCTAAGTTGCCTTATAATGGGTAATTGTTAAAAAGTCCATTAGGTTAGTGTGCTTTTTTTTCTTATAAATAGGATGCTAGTTTCTCAATCTTGGCATAAGGAAAATAGGAAGATAAAATCCTAATTTCAAGGGAGAGAGGT